TATATACACACACACACACACACACAAACATGTATGTATGTACACACACAGAAGCACACAAACATACAGATTTTATACCGATGATAATTGTCAGGAGTAAAAGAAAAGAAGACTAGAATAAAAAAGAATAAAAAGGGCCAAAAGACCTAACCTATGCAGAAGCTCTATGTTCTATGTCATGATGAAGACCAGCCCTGTCATGACTAATTTTCCGGTTGACAGCTCATAAGAGATGAAAGCAGTGTTGAAGAGGTAATCTCTTGTGTCCCAGCAATTAGCATGCACAAATATTAACATGGTTGGTTACAGGATGATGATTACTTTGTTCATGACTCCCTGGAGGGCCACCCACAGAAGGGAAGTAAGGCAACTTACAGCGATGGAAGGAGGAAAAAAGACAGAGTCTGATGACTGATGCGATGTTGGCCACCTATGCATGACCAGGAGAACTGGATTATGAGCTAGGATTTTGCTCCAGTTCAATTGCAAGAGTCACTAGATTCTTCTCTTCAGGCTTCAGACACACAGGAGAGCATGTCTGCTATACTGCTGTTCATTATACCCTTCACTTACCTTCCAAAAACTGTATGCTTCTTGTCCAGATATGCACAAGAGCGGAATGTGATGAAGCTGGAAGGAATAAAGACATACCAGTTAGCATATTATCTCATTGACACTCAACAACAGCCAGTAACGCTTAAAAACAGAGATTGTATGCAACAGCTCTCTGAGAGAAGACAAGCCCCTCTCCCTCTCTGCCTCCTCTCTGGGAGGCCTGCTGGCCAAACATCCTTTAACTCCTCTGTTTTGTGGGTTTCGTCTTGGATTTCTGGAGTTTTGACTTCCCGTTTACTAACATCCCTAAACAGTACTCCAAGCATGGTGACTTGCACAAAGTCCAAAATTAATGTGAGCATCTGCCTCCTCGGCCAGGCAGGCCCCGGGAAGCTTGTGCAGGACAGGGAGACGTGCGTCCTGCTCGAGAAGTACATTTCTTGTGCATGATTGGGAGCTCGTATCCAGCAAATAGTTATTTAACACAACAGCCCTCTGCCAGTGTAAACGTCTATCTTTTAGGGTATTTACTTTTTGCATTTCTCTTCCATTACATTGGCCTGTCGGTGATCCATTTCTCCTCTGGACAGAGCAAATTTGTGCTTCGGATACAAAAATGGCAGAATACTTCAAAGTGTCAAAAGTAACGAAAACCTGTGAAACTTGGATTTTTAATTTTTAATTAGTTGGATTTTTAATTTTCAGGGTTGTATTTTTAAACTTAAACATGGGAACTAAAATACCAAATCCAAAGCAACCTTTACTACTAAAACCTTTCTCTAAAGCATAACGCTTCTTTGGAAGACTTGAACTACAAGCATATGAGCCAGAGGTTTCCACACTGTGGTCTGCAGACCATGATGGCCCATCTTGGCTGGACATGCACTGCTGGCTCTCCTCCCTGTCTCCATCTGTTACACTACATTAGAGACAGCTAAAAATACATAAGCATTCCAAAAGCACTTTTCCATATAAGCAACTGCCTCAGGAAGTTATATGATTGCAAATAGGAGGGGCTGCAATCTGCCAGACGATCTATTAAGACGTAGCTTGCCCTAGGAAAGCTCTGAGATGCTGTGCAGAATGCAAACTCCTACACAGGGCAAACATTACAACTTAGCCTTGTGCATGGGTTCTTTGCACCAGCTTATTCCCAGATATCAAATACTTAAGGTTATCAAGTGGTCAGTTATGTAGCATTGCAATAGAAAAAAATCTGAGCAGTAGCAAATACACAGAGAAAGCTTCTCATCCATCACTGCAGTCAAAATAAAACTAAGGACAATGGAATTAACATAACTCAGGATGATCCCAGAGGAGAAGCCCTGGGCATTATTTGAGCATCACCTTATACAGGAGACCCAGCTCACTCTGCAGTTCAGCGTCTATCACCTATGGGAAAGCTATTCACCCAGTTCCTAAGGTCACAACATTGCCAGAAGTCTCTAAACACTGCCTAGGAAGTTTTATAAATATGGGCAGCTGGAGTCTCTCAAGGACTTCACATATAAAGGAATTTCATATTTCATTTGCAAATTTTAGGGAAACATACCATCACATTTACAGCAGCAGATGATGTGACTCAATATGGCACATCACTCATGAACTGTCTCTAACTTCTGTTTCTAGAATCCTTTTTTTTTTTAAAAAAAAAAAAGCAAGCCTCTACTCTCCCCTAATTTAGCACCTGAGTGCTGGCAATAACATTCAAATCCAAAATAAGCTCTACAGCAACTTGATCCTGCAAACTGCCCAACGTGTTTAGCCTTAAGTACGTGAGTAAGCCTATTAAAGGCCCTAAGACAAGCACTTGCGTTTAATTAAAGCTAACCACACTACTGCACAGTTTACAAGCCATAATACTACTCAGCATCATGAAGACCAACACCAAGAACCTCCTCCCTCCCTCCCCAGTCCCAACACACAGTACTGGACACACACACACTCGCTCTTTCCTGAGGCTCCCAATAAAAGTACAACTTTTTTCTATTGCAGTACTTAGCGAGCAACTAATAAATAGTTGGCTCAAAGGGACACAGAACATTTTCAAAAGACTGCAGGCAAACACCCGTAGTAATGTTACACATAAAGAAGGTTATTACAACTTCAGTATCTTTAAATTTCATGTGTTGTTTCTCCTGCTTCTTCATTTTTTCCTCATTTTAGTCTTCATTCTGCTTTTGTACACTGGAAAACAAGTAATTCTCAATCCCAGATTCTGCACTCTGCCACGTCTGGGTTCTACACATTTCAACAGTGCAGAACTGTTCTCTTTATTTAAAATCGGGCAAGTAAAAGGAAGCAACATTTCCATAGAGTGTATGTTTCATTTCATTAAGCCCTTTCAAAAAGTTCAATACGGGGTTAAATTTAAACAGAGTGGAGAGGTGTAATGATCTCACAGGGAAAACAGTGGGGGGGACACTGACAAAAATGAACAAAAACTTCAAATCATAAAAACAGAAAAGACAAATTAATGATGATGTAAAGAACCTACAGGTCTTCTTGCCATGCTTCACTTTGTTCTTAGATCGGGTAACAGCAGCTGTAGCTATCCTGATTGCAATATGCAGCACTCGACAGAATATTTCACTTGACTGAACTTTAAAGAGTAGCTCATAAAATGTCATTTGTTTTCTTAACAGAGTAAGACACAATGTCTAGAGGGAAACAATAAAACACAAAAAGCAAGTGACTACTTACAACTGCGATTTGTTTGTGTTGGGTCCCGAATTGGCCATACTAAGAACACCACGTCCCGTATGGGACAAATTGGGCCTAAATTCATCTTTGAAAGGTTTTCCCCAGTAAGATTCTCCGCCTTAAAAGAGAAAAGATGATAGAAAAAATGTTTGTTTTCATTACTTTCCCACTACATTTCGTAACAGGCACTGACATTAAATTCAAGCTTTCTGGCACTTCTGATCACTACGTGTATAATATATTCTTACCTCATCCCTATCACTAGGCTAGTATTTGAGCATGCCCTTGAAATCAGATGTTTGTAACTGGCAACACAATTCTGTGCCCCCCCACCATCAACTGCAGCAGACCAGACTGTTTATCAACAGCATTATATACCATGTGCTGAAGAACTGTCAAGGATTTAATTTTTTACTGCTGGTCCACCATAATTTTTTTTTTCTGAGACATTAAATCTTTAAAAGTGGCTTCCTGAGAAAACATAGAGCAAAGAATTACTGGTTTAATTCCACTCTGGATATAGCATTGCTTCTGGAAATAAAAGATCAGGGAGATGAAACACGTTTTTAGAATCAACTAAGAATAAGAGCTGTAAGCTCAAATGCTTAATTCCTGGCTAAACAATGAAGAATGATGATATATATTCCTCCAAAATAAAAGGCAAAAATTAGATATTTGGACTAGATACCTGGATGATGTAAACACTTAAAAGCAATAAAGTCAAAAGGATGATAAAACTTTGCACAAGCCGCAGACCCAGCCCTCCAAAACCAATTTCTTTTCTGTGTCTGTGGATAGAAAGAGGGTCTGGGAGACGTCTCCTCCTGGCTGTCATTTTTACATTATTTATGAAAGATCTGACATTTTCATTTGCACTTTCTTCCAGGATCATTCTTAATAAGAAAAATGAAGGCTGAGATGAGTCATAGTTTTACAGTCAAATCCATAATCTTGTTTGACAAACCATGAAAAAAAAAATTTCACCTTAGGATAGTATTAAAAATAAAACAAACAAAACTATCCAAACAGGCAGCAAGACTGGTCCATCTGCAGAATTGGCTCAAGAATCCTCCACAGTAACTGTATCACTTGCAAAGCAGGAGGTCAGTAAAGGATCTGCGGCGCTCAATGGCTATTTGCACATGTAATACAGAAAAGCAATTTGATGATACGACTGCACAGGCAAGCAGCAAATAAAACTGAGGAATAAAACAGGCTCCTACTGAAAACCTTATATAGAAAATCACAAGAGTGCATCAAATGAGAAAAGAGTTTCACATGATACCACGAAAACAAAGCATCACCCGTGGACAGCTGCAAGTGCAAATGGAACTAAGTAAGCAAGAAATTTTGGAAGAAACTGACCCACTTAAAAACCCAATTAATCATGTTCAAAAGACCTATTAATGAGTTGAGCGTTGCCTGCTCTGCAATTTGACAAGAAGCAGCAAAAGGGAACAAACCCTGTAGGGATTTTCTGTAATCAGGAGTAGAGGAAGAGAGATTGCTTCAGCAATCTTTGGCTATTGAATATTTTAAGATCAGCTAAATTACATCAGCTTGATCGCATATGCCAATCTCTTCCAGTAGCAGGTGAAAGGGATGCAGTACAGCTGCGGCCAGCTCTACTGCCTTGAAGATGAATCCAAGACCTAGCTATTCTAGCCAAATCAACCTATTAGAAAATGCCTTACCAGAAGCCAGTATTTTTCTTTGCTAACGAATCTCCTTATGTTCCTATTTGCTAAGAGAGGTTACTTGTGCATTGCCTGTTACCTAGCTTGTTCAGAAAAACAAAGTTCTTGTAGGTTAGTAAATAAACAAGTTACGCTCAGAATATAGCGAGGCTCCACGCCAACAGGTGCTGCCCGAAACCAGAAACACACCTGCAAAGCCTGCAGACCCACTGCCCATCAACAGCACTACGCTCTGCGCACCATTTCTCCTTCCCTCTTTGCCTTTCACAGTTTTCACCTTTCCACTTCCATCTGGCCTGGCGGGGCAGCACCGAGGACGGGCTCCCTGCCCGCGCTGCCACGCCGCGGCGCTGCCATTGCTTCAGGCCCCGCACTTCTGCTCTCGGCCACGGCCAGAGCTCTTTGCACCTGAGGAACAAACTTCACTTGGACTTCCCTTAGAGAAATACATAATTTTGCTTCAAAGGATCTCTTGAAGGAACTCCTAATTATTTGTAAAGCAGATGCACTTGCTACGAGTCCTAACCTAGAGGAGTTTTGCTGTCTAAAATTTTCAGGTGACATGCAAACATGAACACAACCCATGCTGAGACGGTACACAGCAGCAAGGGGCCAAACCACGGAGTCCCTCACACCCTTCATATGCTTCCAGCTCATGCCGGAATTACAGCGTTGTCAAGCTGCTGAAAGAGACTGGAATCAACCCTGAAGCCTTCACTGGTCAGAAAAATAATTCAAAAGGAAAGAGAAAAATTGTGAATGACGGAGAGACTCTCTCTTTCTGGCGCAACAAGCAACCAGACCCAAGAGCTTGCAGACAGGAGCAATGAGCCATGATCTTTAGGTTTCGGAATATTTGTTTTTGTATTATTTCATTTCAGATCATGCACTGCAGGTCAGAATTAATCTCATATGCATGAAGGCTAACTTTGGTTCATTCCAGTTCTCTGGAAATAAATGCTAATATTTTAGTAGATAGTTACAGCATGAGATCCAGTCCCTGCTTCCCTCTCTGTCTGCCATACAGCTGTTTCCAAGGCTAATTCTGTCTGCCCGGGAGCTGCAGCAAGAACAGAGAATGGCCTGTACAGCATTTGCCCAAAAGGCCAGACGTCCTGTAAAGAACATAGCTGAAGTGTCTGCAGAGGCCTGGCAGCACGGACCGGCAAGGGGCGGTGGAGACGCTGCACAGGCAGGCAGAGAGCAGTACAGGAACGGTTTGGGGTTTCTTCTTGGTTTTTTTAAAGAAAAAAACCAAATTTTTAATTTAAAGAGAATACTTTTTTTTTTTAAAAAAGGAAAAACCCAAAAGTATTCTCCTTAGATTAAAAATAGCCTGAACGTGCTGTTTGTCAAACTCCTGCTAACCTCTGGAATTGTTCCAGGCTTCAAGTATCTGCTTGAAGCAGGACCAGACAGAGCAAGCCAGAAGATGGCGAGTTAAATGTATACATTTTTTTAATTACTGAAACCCAGAATCACTTTCTCTCTGAAGATTAAGTACAGATCCCTCATTAGTCTACTGCCATGGCAGCACAGTGCCTAATGCTCAGCCAGGAGGGTCTGGAACAGGGATTTTAGATTCTTGCATTTTACTCTCTACGGTAGAGCTCAATGTAAACTTGGGAAAGTCAGTCACAGGCTCCAAACCTACCACTAAAAATTATGAGGCATTCAGAAGTATCTAGCAGATTTTACTGTGTTTATTCTCGACGCGGCTGGGAGGGGTGGCTGTGCCCTCTTCCTCATTTTCTGAAAGCAGAATGGACGCAGATGGAGAGAGGAGGTGGGACCGTCGCAGCCTAGCTCTAGCCCTCTCGTGTTACACTCCTGGCATATGCCATAAAGAGAGGCGGCTCCTCCTTATATTCCCCATATCTTCCTCTGAAAGCACTCAGATCACTGCTGACTATATATGGAGTCACGATGATGCAAAAACCTCACCCCAATGCTGACGTACTAGCCTACAATGGAAAACAAGAATTGACTCTGGGTGTTAGATTCACAGCGGGCAGCACTGCCTGTCACTTCACCTTCCTCTCAGCTTACTCCCTGATAAGATTATCTTCCGTCAAAGTGGAGCTGTGTGCCTACTGGACTTGCAAATGTTTCTGAGATCCTATTACAAAAAGTGCTGGAAAAAAATTCTGGGGGCTTTGTGCTAAAAATCAGAGGAGTTCACATTGCAGCAGACATGGCCCCAGGCAGGTACTGCCACTGGCTGGATTGGTGCTGGGAGTGCGAAATAGAGCAGTGCTTATAACCCTGCACGTGGGGGTCTCCTGTTTGCACAAAGCTGGAAATGTACTTGAGATCTGCCGCTGCAATATGCTGGCCTTCTAACAGCATTTAACCTGTACAATGTCAAAGCCTTCAGGAGCCAGAAAGAGTTTTTTCACCGTTCTGTAAAATAAAACTCACTTGCCTACCCAGACACCCAAGATTCAAAGCTGAAGGCAGCTGGGAGCCGCTTCCCCCCATTTTTTATAAAAGAGAAAAATTCTCTTAAATTAAAGAGGTGTTTACCTAATTCTCACAGAGAGATGAAACCAAACAGACCACATAGCTCACAGAAAAAATTAGACTGTATTCATCATTTCCATGGCTATCCGGAGTGGCAAGATATATTTAGCTTGTAACTGAAGCACAGTTAGTTATTCAGTCTCGTATCTGCATCTTGTGCTGATAGTGAAAAGGTGAAGAGATCTAAACTGACATCTGAAGCAATCATGCATTAGCAACTATACATAAAAAAGCCACGTTTTCAGATTGTCTTTTGAACTAAAACAGCTTACTCTTTTGTAGTCTTTGCTCCTTTCTAAAGGCATTTTTTTTCAGAAAGTAATTTTTTAGGTAAAATTACAGAAGTTGTACAACTTTCTTGCAAAAAGCTGAGAGATGCACCTAAAGCTTCAGAAATGTAGCATTCCAAAAGCCAGGTGTGGGCTGGGAATCATCATTCATGACAGTTGTGATTTTAAATAAATCCTTCCTTTTTCTGGCATAAAAATTGCTAAGCAGTGATAAGGAAGTGGGAGTGCTCTGATTCACAAAAATGATGGCTTACTTTCTGTAATTTTCTTCTTGTCATTTGGAACAACGAGGTACATAATAACATCTGACACTTCTACAGAGCTTTCCAAGTGAGATTCTTGAATCATTTTGCAAACATGAAAGCCTTAGCTCAGCCAGTAAGTGCTTCTCTCCCTTCAGATAAGAGGACACAGTACTTTTAACCCCACATACCAGAGGCTGGATTTTCAGAGGGGCTGCAATCTAAAAGGAGTATATTGCTAGATAAAAAGGTCTTGCTCTTGTCCTTTTGCTGAGCTTCAATCATGCAAGAAAAGGGGCCCTAAAACCTGTTACATTTTAGGAACTTGCCTTGTTAGGAAATCACATTGCAGAACTGACCACGTTTGTCCATGGTCCCTTTGCTATTGACAGCTCAGAGGAGTGGAAAAAAAGTCCTTTGCTGTGCTCGTTGCCAACAAAAATGCAATGCCTATCTACCAGTGGTATTTTATCTTGGACTTTTACAGCTATTACATGCCTCCTTTGTGTCCTCCTGGATTCACAAATGGACAGAGGCACACACAAGCCGATTCATGAGACCTTCCAGCAGGTTGCAAGTAAGAGTAGCTGAAAAATGCCTGTGCCACTTTCAAAATGTGATGCTTTGCGTATCGTTTTCCCTTTTTCATACGAAGCGTTTAGAATATTAAACCTATTTTTCCTACATGCAAATTTTCTATTATTTGGAACACTGAAAATACAAAGCAGCTGCTCCACTTGCACTAGCATGAGTTAGACAGAATTACTCACAATGTTCAACCACTTAGTTGTTATGAACAGCAGGAAAAGAGATACATCACAAATCTAAAATTCATTTTCAAATAATTAATCATTACAAAGAATGACCATGACTCAGCTTATTGCTCTGAATATTGCCTCTATGGGTGGTTATTTTGTTAGAAAAGAAAGAAGCTGCTGCAGCACAATAAAATTTCTCCCAGTAGTCTTATGAAACATTAAGTTGAAGGCTGTAGAAAATTAGTTTGGTTCTCTAAATCAGTGTCAACCTTACAGGACTGTATATCTTAACTGCTTTGGCAATGCAGGTCTGCCAGCTAAGCCAAGGTAAAACTCCATTCCCCACTCTTTTCCCAGTGTGGTATCTCAACTTCTAGATGCCGTAATGCTAATTTCCACCCTCCTCCATCCCAAGGTTAACTGCTGAGTACCAGGAATCAGTTGTCCTTCACGTGTCTGCTGGGTCACAGTTATTTTTATGACAGCCTAACAAGAGACTCAAAAAGGATATATCGGGGTGCTGAATAACAAATAAAAAAGAAATAAGGATCAGTGCTGCTTACAGGTAGGACTGTTCAGCCAGAGTAGCCGTGGAAGTGGACAATCAGTGACAACCAACTTAGCATTTTACATCTGTGAAATGTTTCCAAAACACAAGCACACTTATCCAGGTGAGCCAAGAGCACAGTTGCAGTCTATGTACCTATGACATGTCACCTCACGTCATGTTGAACTGAATGTGCCCAAATCCACCCAGAAGCCGAAAAGTGCTGGGCTTAGTTAGCAATGGAGTGGGTGATCATCTAAGCATTTGGGTGTTGCAACCATAAACCTGACACCTGTTGCTGAACATGGGATGAATGTCAGATGACAGAAACCAAATGGTGGGAAGATTTTTGAACAAGTCTGTTCTAGTTCCTGAGCTGATGAACAGCAATAATTAAATAAATATAAAACAAAAGTATATACAGGCTTAAGGCACCTTCTACAGATCAGTTTGGAAAAGGTGGGGTTTTTTTAAACAAACAAACAAAGAAACAAAAAACCATTCCAAACCTCTTACCCAGAAAATTTCAGTTAAAGCAGAAGGTTCTATGTGGAAGAGGAAACAAAGAATGTTCTTTTTTTCTGAAGCCTTCCTACAAAAGGCTCTAACAGAAACAATTCTGGCAGTTTAAAATATTGACGTTTAACAGGTAACCTCCAAATAGTCTTCCCTGTTGCCCACTGAAATACCTGGGAAGAAAGCCCTGTTCTACTCTCATATGCTTCTCTGATATTACAGAAGTCAAGTTATTTACTCCCCCAGTAAACCTCTAAAGACCATTAAATCTTAAGGACGTTTTAGCTTTCAAAGATGCTTTTTTTTTTTTTTACCCCCCTAAGAAGCAGTGAGTCAAAGAAATACTGAAATTCCTTCCAGCTGCCAGAAGAAATAAAAAAGGGAATTTATACTGGAAATAACATACAAGACCCAGGTAAAAAAAGTACAAAGTACTGAACTCCAGTGCTTTACTCCACTTTCCTAATATGAATGCTTGTGATCACATTAATAATGCACAAACCAATGGACCAAAATTTTTACACCACGGGAGCCTAGGAGAGCATCACTACATTTGCCATGTTCTTACACTGCTGCCAAGCTGTACCTTCCTCTGGCTGCGCTGCTGCGGGGAGAACGTAAAGCCAGACGGCACCTTAGGTCTGGCCACCTTCTTACAGCACGGGGCTTGAGGCACACAAGTGAAATTCCTGCCTCACATTCCCAGGATCTATCAGGTAGTCAGGAACAAATCCTGACAGACTACTTGCACTCTGTGAACTGTCTAAGAGCTTCATTTAAGTAAGTATTAAACACACAGGCATGGCAGTTCAAGAGAAATCTAGTAGCCCACCAGGCTGTCCATTTACAACGTTTTCTTGTGATATTATCATATTCAGTAAGTGATTAAGTAAGGATATCTAGAATTCAGCTGTCTTCAAAAACCAAAAACCATTCACTTGCAAAGAAGATAGCTGCATCGTTTGGACTCTACAATAATTGCAAACAGTATAAAAATCCACAACATTCATATCTGTACGCTGTCCATTTTATTAGAACTTTAATAGTCTTGACAGATGTTTGCAAGACATCTCGCCTGCAATATAGTAATATTTAATTAAGAATGACAAGGAGGAAAACAAGATGGAAAAGACTAGAGGTCATTAGACTCCTTTTTTTAAATAAGAGAATATACATAGGAGTTTTTTTCTCCTATGGGCTTATTTGCATTTTACTTCCTACTTGCTTTGCCAGTAGAGCTGAGTCTTGACCTTCAATGCAGCTGCACTGGCAGTCCTCTGCCAACTGTTAATTGTGCTGTCTTAGAATACTTCTATCGTTTGCACAAATAGAGACAAGAATGACACGAGCAAGATAATTTTCATTCCACAGCAGGATCTGAACTCCACCCTACAAGGGTGAAAGGTGTCTGAGTCAACCCATTAAATTTCTCCCGTCTCCTGACACCTCTTTAATTTCTCATTTTAAAAGATGTTCCTAATTATGTCTTTTGGGATTTGAACCGAAACTTTCCTCACAACAAAATCAAATCACATTTCTTTTGACAGTCCAAGCATATACGGTAACAAATCTTGTTAATGGGCTTTTGCCATCAAACCACAGAACCTTTAACTAGTCTCAAATCTTAGAGTATGCAACTGTTGATTACTGCATGCAGTAGAAGAAAAGCTGTTGGGCAACTCACGCTAACATTACTTACAAAGTAAAGAGAGCTAAAGTATTTAACAACTACAAAGGCATCTTTTTTGGACCTGTGAGCACGCACAGAAGAACATAGTGCTTGCATATACAAGTGACACATGTATGAACTAGAATAAAAATGCACAGAACCACACAGGACCAGGCGAGGAGCTGTGGAGGCTGGTGACATCTACAAGTGGGTAGATAAAAGGTGCAAGTGGAAAATGAGCAAATTTACAGCAGCAACTAGAGGTATTACATGACATAGCTACTGTGGTGGGCAATGCTCTGAGGACCCTTCAGCTGCTATGTCTCCTGACCATTTCTGATACGACTATTATGCAGATCTTCAACTAAGAGAGAAAGAACAGGCAGAAGAATTTAGTAACAGCGATCTCTAGAAGTTAGAAAAAGAGCAGCTTGAGCTTTACAAGGCAACTAGCTGGGAGAACAGATGGTATCTGGCCATTCACCAATTCCGAGGCAGGTCTCAAGTATTTAATTAACACTGAATTTGAAAGCAACTTTGCATGAATGTGTTTCTTCCCTTGTTCTTTGCCCTGGAAGGCCAGCTGTAAAATCATTATAATTTTCATTTATTTGTTTTCTGGAAGAAAAAGGAAGCAAAGACCCAACAAGAATTCTGCATGGAAGAGTGCCCAAGTTTTAGACTGAGAATATATCGGATGAAATTTTAAGCATAGTTAAAATGGTCATAAAAATATAGCAATAAAACCTCTGCTTTAAAGTAGAAATACTCATAGTGTACCACATATCATCATTTAGAGAATTTTAATCTACAAGGTGTCTGGAAATAAATGTAACACCACAGTGCATGAAGTGAAAACAGTTTACTTTATTCAAACTCAGCCTTACCTGTTCCTGTTCCAGTTGGATCACCTCCTTGGATCTGCAGAATTAAAATTAAATCAATAGGTTACATATATATCTGTAATGTGAAAGACATTAAATACAAGCCATACAAGCCACGAAAGCCAATTCTGCTCAATTTTCTTCCTTCTATATTGTGTCATGTTGACAAGTTAGCAACAAGGAAACCATTATTACTTATTTGGAGCTTCTTTTATCAGCTGGCTGTCATCTCCTACATTACTTATCCAAGAGCAGAATGACAGTTTTATAAAAATAATAGGTCTCTTGTGGATAAATAGGGAAAATAAACAGTCTCAAATGGGTTAACGAGATCATCCTTTCTATTATGTGCTGAGTCGTAACCTGCTTTTTAACTGATGATGCATTGCTTTTGGAACTGAAAAGTCTTTACATTTTGCTACCAATCCTCCCCATGATGGGAAGGCAAGACATGAGGGAATATGGAATATTTTCTGTATCTGAATCTGTATTTCCCAGTATCCCCCTCACTATCTGCAGTAGGGAAAATCCTCATGTGAAACCAATCTTTCAGCAACAAAATTAATCACTGTATATACATGCAGGATCTACAGAAATAATATTCTATATTCTAATGCCAGTAGAGGGAGCGTGACATGACTACTTTCACAATAATAGCACACAAGCACAATTTTAATGGTGAGTTTAACTATGAACTGAGATATACAGTGCTGTCAAAAGAAAAAAAGCTTTTTTTAGGATGACCAGGTGGAATGTAACATTCAGTGATGTCTCCTGAAAGATGTGCTCTGCCTTCAGGATCAGGTTGTTAATTCTTCTGAAAGGAAGTTACAGGACAGTACAGTTACTACAATACCCTAAGCTGCCTGCACCGTACCTATGTAAATAAAGATCTTTGACTACTAAAGTCAACTTTCTGGTTCACTAGGTGCTCTTTAACTCCTTCACAAAGAAAGCCTGGGTGCCTAGTCCTGGAGCACACTCAGGAGAGGATGATCTGACAGTATCCAAGTACCACAGCCCGAAACAGAAATTCAGCTGCTTTCTAAAGTTTCATCTATATGGGATTTCAACAGGCCACAATATTACTTACCCAAACTAGCATTTCTCTCTCTCTCTCTCCCTCCTCTCTCTCCTTCTGTTCATTAACCACCCACCCGCAGCTTGGGGAAGGTAACAAGAGCCTTGCCAAGGCAATGACTCTCAAAGGCTTTGTCTGGAACACCGGCAAAAGCACTACTAAATGCAGTGATGCTCCAAGTGACAATATTAGTCAGAGACAGTTCTTATTAAGACTAGTAAGTACAAATTTAGTAAGTTAGGATAATCCTAGTTCTGATGGTATATTTAATATACATCTATTACAAGCTGTCACGCATGGAAGAAACTAAAACTGAATTAAGGTAAATAAGTATTTTGAGGACATCGTATATTGTGCATTACACAGGATTTGTTCAATACTCACCACAAAATTACGAATTGATCTGTGAAAAATTGTTCCATCATAATAATTCTTCTTGCACAATTTGATAAAGTTTTCACATGTTCGGGGTGTCTGAAAGACAAATGGAAGTTCTAATTAAGCAATACCTTTAGAAAATCAAATTGGTCACTACACTGTTTACAAGAATCACTTTTCATTTGTGCCTTGCAAAGAAGCAATCATGCAGGACTCTTGAAGAGGAATGATCCTCTGCCTACAGAAAAAAGATATAATCTATGCTCTTTTAAAGTATACTGGAGAGACACACACTGTGTTAAATAAATTAAACCCAGACCTTCCAATTAGCATAAAGAAGTGTTGAACACTAGCTCAGATAACGTGAGCTCCCAGTAGACATAATGATGGTGAAAGCAGGTAAGCTCAGAGACTTTCAAGTAACTAACTTAGCTCCAGCAGTGTATCATAATCCTGTTAAAAAGGGGGACTTCCAGCACTGAAAAAAGTTCATTTCCCAGAATAAGAAAGAACCTGACTTCTCTGCTCCACTATTTCAAAGTGAGCACATTGAAGCTAATTGGGAGAGAAGCATTTGGTCCTTTTCACCACTAAAAATGGGACTGACCCCACAAGTTACTGAACCACAGAAAAAAGAAAAAAAGACAACTTGTTCTCAAAAACCTAAAAAAAAAAAAAAAAGACACTAAATACATTGCCAACTTCTAATTTGCTTTTATAGTGCAAGTTAAAGCTATTTATTTGAATTTATGAGCCATGGCATTCAAACAGTACCTTCTGAAAAACTTTACTGTCTACCTAATTATCCTTCCACTGTAATTGTACAGATTCTCTTCTCTGCAATACTAAAATACCTTCACATGTACAAATACAAGAACAGAAACAGCCTGTTTTCTATACTTGGACATGTTTTCCAGTCCTACTGTGGGTTGTGTGCATAAATATATTCCAGTTTTACAAAAGAATACATCTAACTCATCTGACTTGTTACAGGCCTTGAAAATATCCTTATTTTTATATGTGCTTGCAAGTAAAGCCCCAGCATGAGTCGCGATGTCTGTAAATGAACACACACAAGACTTGAAGCGTTTTTCTAAAAGACACTGATTCACTTTGCATTGGTATGACATCATTCTTGGTCTGAGAGCTGCAGAGAGACAGACTGAGACTGAGCCATGCAACCTGCAATGACTTAAAAGCAAAAAAATAAGGCAAGCCCAATTACAATAATTTAAGGATTAAATAACCTCTATCCTTCTAAAAGCAGATCCAAAAGTATTCATCCGGAATCATAGAGAACTTCAGTTTTCTATATTTTCTCATCTGAAACACAATCATTCTCACCCCTCTTTTTTGATACTGAAATGTCTCTTAATTATCCAAACAAACTCTACCTGCCATTATAAATTCTTTATGATGATTCCTTCTTAATTACTCTACACAGATATAGATGACAGTTGTGAGCGGGGCCATAACTGGAAAAATAAACAAATTCTAATGCAATCTTACACCAGCTATTATCTCAGATTTCCTATATAATTCATTACTGGGTTAAAATGGCAATTGTTTCAAGCAATACGAGGTTTTCCTACAGTTTCAATGTTTATAGCAAATTTGAAAATTTTTCTTTGAATTGGACATATATGCTTGAAAATAATCTTTCTATGTAACTTTTCAAGTAAAATTCAACCCCCAAAGAATCTTTTGTGCAGTTTATGCTTCCTTTATAAGACAAATCGTAACAGCCTTGATCCTAACATAGTGCTATTAGTTACCACTCATGAAAAATGTCAGTAAGGATAGGAGTAAGTTTAAAAAATTTCTTTATGAATCAGAAATGGAATCAGCAGCTTTTAGCCTAAGGCACTTCATCTCATGAGAACCAAGCACTCTTTGGAGAGAGAGACATAGTTAATAAGTTCTCTGGGGGGAATACAGCAACCTGTAATTAATTTTTTTAAGAAAAATGAAATCAGGTGAAAGACTGAGTCCCCTAGGAATACATACCAAACCGTTTTAAATTTGCACAACATTGATATCCAATAAAGATTTATACAGAAAATAAATACACTATTTATTTTCAAAATGTGATTTGTAAAATATACATTAAAAAAGGGGCTCTAGTAATGTATTTTTTATGTAGGACCTATGCTGAACCTGCTCTCTAAATGGATTTCTAGTTATTATATCTTTTCCCAGAAACAAGCTTTTCAAATGCAACTGCAGAAATATTTAGTATACATGCAATAATCATTTCACTGCAAGGTTTTCTTTAAATAATTGCCACCAAATCGGTTCCCATGGTCACCTCATGCATCATACAGATACATCTGGCAGGTAAACAGTTCCTTAGCAACATTACCATTACCTTTTACAGTGCTTTTTAGTAGACACAAATAAAAAGGTTTGCATTCTATCAGTAATAAACCCCAGTTTCAGTCATGCAGTTGATCTAGAATATCTGGCTCAGATTATCTGATTTATTCAAAGCAGTTAATGTTCTTGCCAAATCTCACACTGCCAAGTACATTTCGGGGACTTTTTTAAGCAGCATCCTGTCCAAAGCAGGAGAAAAAGGCTCGAGGTTAATGGGGTAGGTGTAGATCCTAAATAATGAAGTTACATTCTGCATTGACCATACAAACATAGCCGGTCTTTGAAGTCTTTGTTCCAACTACAAAGGCTGATGAGAAATACATATAAACAAACCTGACTTTGTTATTTGAGTGTAAGATCTTGTGGAAGATGTCAGCCTGGCAGTCTTGGAATGCAAAACTGTCTACTTCTTCAGAAACTTCCTCCACACCACTTGCCTCACACCATTTCTGAAGGAGGAAGGGATGGTCAAGGCAACCTGGAAATGCAGAAGTGTAGGAGGCAACGCCGGTTTCTTGTTGCCTCATTATTGACAATGGACTCCAGGCTCTTTTGTACTTCTGACTGTTCTTGTCTCAAATTGACCTCAACAGCAGCAGCTAACTTCTCCCTCTTTATTCCTTTTACATTAAGCAGGAAATTATTTAAATTATTTTAATCTGCTGACTATGACTTAGACATATACGTAAGAAAGTCAAGGGAAAAATGCCACCTTAATTTGTTAACCTGTTGATCTGAAAGCCACCGACAGAAAAAAGGTTATGTTTTAAATCTACTGCAGTATCTTCTGAGAAGGATACAATGATAGTCCTAAGAATTCAAATTTAAAAACTGTGGAAGGCTTTTCTCTCCGAAGAGTGTGGTAGGATAGCCCTGAGAAGTCCTCCTTTTCTTCAGTCAAGTTAGAATCACATAAGTGAACACCGTGTCTCTGTATGATGTCCTTCAACTTAAAGACACTTTTCTCTCCGAATGACAAACAGTAAGAAAAAAAAAAAAAACCACAACTTATTTATACCAAAATGAGTCTCCTGGTCCAAGTATGCTCCCCACTTATTTTGTAGATGCCAGATAACTGTCTTTCAACTGTTGAAAATTCACACCCAAGACAAGTGGTAAAATTTTAATAAATGGCTTGAGACAGGAATCCAGAATAATACTTATCCCAGAAGATAACACAAATGCTTTGCTTGGCCCTCAGACGTGTATATTTAATGGGGAAACAGCCCAATGGTTTTCTAATTATGTTTAAGTCTCCATTTAGCTAACACACTTAGTAGGTAATTCGACATGGAAATACCAGCACACTACTAGTTACTAGGCCTGGACAAATTTCAGAATTGAAAAGAGATTGCTGCTATGAACATGCAAACACAACAGTGACAAGAGGCTGATTGTGAAATCACGCATACTGGAAAAACACTAAAGAAAGGAATATAAAATTTAACAAAAACAAAGCAAAACAGAAAAAACCCTGAGTCCTTACTATAAAGTTCTAGAAAAAATGCAGATTTTATCTTGTTCCCCTTTTCAGTATTAACCAAGCCAATTTTAGTTTCCTTTTTGCCAGCAAGGGTGGCTCCAAACCAAAAATTAACCTCTCTTGCTGCGTCCCGAGACCTGAGGGGTAAGACTAACCAAGCCAGGTCACTATCTGCTTTCTCAGTTTGCAGCTCTCCTTTCTCATCACTTAAAATGGGTTATCACATTTGTAAAAGTTACCTTAACTTACAATTTGTGTTAGGCAGCTGAAGAGCCAACCAGAAGCAGATTAAAAACCTGCAGCACTCCTGTTGCCAAGGTACGGGAGATGGGAAAAGAGAGGAGCTTCCGAGTCGTTGCCATGACTGCGAGGAAGAAGGCTTTACTATGTGAAGAGCTAATCATTTCCAAATGCTCCATATCCCTTGAGAGGATCTGCATGAACCTTGAAGAGAAATTTCACTAAGCATTCAGAAGCTGTCATTTGCACATCTGTATAATTTCCTTGTGCTAATTCCACTCCCCTTTTATTTCTTTTTGTCTCTCTAAATTGGATGAACTGTAGTAGTTGCACTAAACTACAGAGCCTTGATATATGCTCATTAACCCTCTGTTTCAAAGCAGAAATAATCTGAAATAATGAAAAGCTTGTTCCTCACAAATTAAAATTGGATTCTACAGCCTTCATCTTATCACACAAATGCCAGAATCCGGCTACTAAGAGGCGTGAACTAGTGATGGAAATTTCTAAAGCTTCAAACGAAGCCTGCAATTTTAACATAGACCTCCTTTAAAATGCAAGGTGGATTTTGTTTTGCTTTAACAGAAGGTTTTGGGGTTTGGTTGTTTGGTTTTTTTTTTTTTTTTTTTTTTTTTTTTTTACATAGAGCATTTTCACTCTTCTAATTGTTCATTCTAGCAACTCTTCTAATGCTTGAGCCCATAAAGAGGTGATTTGGTAAGGTTTAAACTCAATTCTCATCATGCTTTTCAATCTGCAGTCCTAGTAGCCCACCCATCCCACAGGAAAGCCCATCCTAATAAAAGCTTGGCTTTCTTTAGGGCTTAGTCAGAGGCAACTGTAATGGAGCAATTTCAGGAATCACCATCTATCAGGTGCAAGTGTCTGTTCCCTCCACTAAGTCATGGAAAGAAACTGGATATATAAATGTTTCTAGTGCGTTTCAATGCCTAATACTGTACTGGAAGGCAATTTAAGCTACCCTACTTCACTTTGC